GACACGGGGGAGGATTGGAGGCGCCGACAAAGCATACCTCGGATCCAAGAATGTGGGCCCACGTTGCAATGGGAGCAACATCATGAACGACCAGCGAAGTTCCGAGTGAAACACAATGCCTGGAGCCCGTTGTGTTAACCAGCGTCCCTTGCAAGGGGCCCACGCCTCAAAGGAGCCTCGACGGCGCATTCGAGTGGAGGGAGGAAGAGACAGCTGCAAACTCCGTCCTTGGATCGCATTCTGACTGCAGTGGAGAAACACGGGAATGTCGATAGGAGGAGGGGGAGGCGGAGGGAGGGATGGCGGAGGAGAACCTAATCGCACAACAATCTCAGAGATCGCACGGTCGTTTCGAACCAAGATCTGCCAGCCTTCGGCACGCCCAAGCCGAGGCGCCTCTCCTCCTCCTCATCCTCCTCCTCCTCCTCCTCCCCCCCCTGATCCACCTCTACCTCCTCCTTTCCTCTTCATTGGCTACAATGCTGGGGACAGGCCGTGCGAGAATGTCAAGGCGTGCGAGAAGGGCAAGCAATGGCAGCAGAGTGGAGGAAGGACACAAGCCAACCGCCATCAACTACAGCGCAGCTCACGCGAAGGTGCCAGCTCGTGCGCAGGAGGCTCAAGAGTGTGCGTGCAAAGCTCGGACACGCAGTGGTAAGCAAGCAATGAACTTTTGTCACTGAACACGTCAACTACAGTGCAAGGATCAACTCGTGCGATAAAGAAATAACGCAAACAAATACGTTTTCAACTACAACCGTGTATAGTTGGGGGACGTCCAGGGTGTCTGTGCACGGACTCGGTCGGTGAGCCGTGGCCGGCTCATCGATCGAGATGGGCGGACAGTTGCAGCACTCGTCGTGGCTCGTTTGTGGGGTAGCTGGAACAAATGTTAACATCAGCTACAAACCTGTAAGCGAAAGCTGGTGCGAGGAGGCAGGCAGTGGCAGCAGTCACAGCGATGCGATCAGCATGTGCGAGAAGGGCGCAGGCGTGCACAGCAAGCTTGCGAGAAATTGGCCCATTTGAGGGCCGCATGTGCAACGCCGAACTTTGTCGCGGAGGACAGGCCAGCAGAACCCAGACAAATCCTCCTCCTATCCCCCAATCTCTGCTCCTCCTCCTCCTTGCCTTCCTCCCCCATCCCTCTTCAATCCCATCTCCTTATCAATCACTCCTCCGTGTCGCACCCCCAGACGTGACGGTAGGACGGACCGGGCGTTTCGCCTGAGAGACGACCTCACACCTTCTGATCCTGAGGCTTGAGATTTGCAACATCTTCACGGATGGAGGGAAGGTGGTTTTTGACACGTGGTTCGCCCTCGCGCCGCGCACTTTCGTTTTCAACTATTTTTAAGTTGGGCTGTCACCCTACAGGAAGATTCCCCAAAAAATCCCAAAATAGTCGGGGGACTATTTGTTGAGCATGCTTGGACCTTTTTGGCGTATTATTGGTGCATTTTTTTAACATTTGCCCGACATGAAATTATTGCAACCACTTCACGGAAGCAGGGCAGGCAGTTCAGCATGTGGCCCTCGCCCTAGCGCCGCGCACTCTCGTCTTCAGCTCAGCCAGGGTTTCACGCACGGAGGGCGCGCTGTTTCTAAAACCTTCCTCTCGCCTGAGCGCCGCGCACATTCGTTTTCAGCATCTGCAGCAGCTTCACAGAAGGAGGGCGGGTGGTTTTCAACATGTGGCTCTCGCCTTGGCGCCGCGCACATTCGCCGTAAACGCCTGCAGCAACTTCAAATAAACAAAGGGTGGGTCTGTTTTGAACGTACCTCTCGCCTCAGCGCCGCGCACATTCATGCTGACAATTTGCGACAGTTTCAAGGATTCCCGCGGTCGAAGTCCCAGGAATGGTGTTCTGGCAAGGCATAGGACCGTCAGAGCGCAACAGTTCAGTTCATTCGCGGTGTTGAAGTCCCAGGAACGCAGTTCAGGCACGATTTCGGATTGCCATGACGCAGCAGCCACATTGATCTGCGACGCTGAGGTCCCAGACGCTTGTCTTCTCGCAATGTGAAAAAGTTCTTATAGGCCCTGCGAGGAGGAGGACACTTTGAGGGGGTGTCCATTGCAACATCGTCGATGCGTCTTGGGTTTACATTGGTCCTCCTCCTCTTGATCCTGAACTAAATTCGGCGGTGGACAAACCTCCCTTTAGTAAACCTCCCAATAGTGAAAACGGCCTGGGACCGAAACCAACGGACCTGGACCCGCAGAAGTGACGGCCGCGACACCCTCTCGCGAACCGAGAACTGCCAATTCCTCAATCGACGTGTCAGGGTAGGAGGTCGATCCACCTCCGACACGATGAGAACCTCGCCCAAATGATGAGAAGAGTGCGAAGGAGGCCCACCCCCGCGGGCACGCGGTCGCCGAGAAACGCCGCCGCTGCACGCCCGCAGCAGGGCAGGAACCCAGGAACCGGGGCCGCCGCGGCTCTCGCTGGCCCTCGCGCCGTCGCGCAGGCACTTTGGATAATAAACTCTCAGCGGTTCTCTTCTCTTCTCCTCCTACCTCCTCCTCCTCTCCTCCTCCTCCTCCTCCTCCTCCTCCTCCTCCCCCTCCTCCACCTGCTCTGCTCCTCCTCCTGCTCCTCCTCCTCCTCCTTCTCCTCTCCTCCCCTCTTCCTCCTCCTCCTCCTCCTCCTCCTCCTCCTCCTCCTCCTCCTGCTCCTGCACCTGCTCCACCTCCTGATCCTCCTCTCACTCTTCTCAGGTGGCCTTTAGATTGGGGACTCTGCTCTGGCTTGACGGCGAGACGAAAACACCGACCCCGGCAACGCCAGTCCCGGGCCATGGATCTGGCCGTAGCCCTCTTGGCTACGCGACGATCCTGGCCAAACACCATCGCTGGCGTATGGCTTGAATGTTGAGGGGTAAAGCTAAGAGGAATAGAAGGGGAGGCACGCTTTACAACGGACGTCGTGCCGCTCAAACTCTGCCCACCAAGAAATGCCGACGGGAAGGGGGCCCGCCTCAACGCCTGCTCATCGGGCATGTCGCGGTCGAACGCGAGCACGATGACCTGCGACGAAGGCCCGACGGTGACAAGGCGCGGCGCGCGCAATATCTCGCTAGCCAGCCCGGAAACCTGGGGGGACCAGGAGGCCCCGATGAGGAGAAGGAGGACAAGGGGAAGGACGAGGGGGAGGAGAGGGAGGAAGTGAGGAAGATAAGAACTACGATGGGGCGAGGCGAGGCGAGGCGCCGACATATGTCCAGAGGGACGGCCCTACGAGGCACGGCGGTTGGGCTGAAGTCCAGGATGCCCTTTGGATCCCTGTGACCCATGAGCGTGAAAGCTCGCGAAGGAGGGAGGGCGACGGCGACGACGAACAGCAAGAACCAAGGCAAGTCGGCAGAGCACCTGCAATCTGAAGAGGCCAGCCACACGCCAACGCACACGTGCCAACACGCACCACGGAGAGGCGGAAGGGTGGGTCGAGCGCAACACATCACTGACACATCAACTGAAGCATGCGCTCCTCATGAGGCTTATCAGGAAACGCGTGGCGATGTCTTTGCTTCCTGCGATTGTGAATGTTTGCCTGGGACTGTCTGGCGAACCAGAGATGTTGTGCCCGCTACTGTCCAAATTTGGGTTCACGCCATGGTCTCCAAAAACAAATTCATGCCTGCACGTGTCGCTGACTGTGCAATGTTCAAATGGTCCACCACAAGGATGAGGATGTGGGATTATAGGGGATGGGGATGGAAGCATTATTGGCACACCGTTGTGGTTGACTGGGGATGACACGCAAAAGGACACCATACCCTCCCGAAAGCCACATTGCCACAGGAATGTAGAAGGCATGGGTCGCGAAACACAGGACACAAGATTTCCCTCGATTTGGCAGGGTCGACTTACCCATCAACCTCGAATGTAGTTATCCGCGTGGAACCCCACCGGGAAACTTCGAGGTCTCATGATCTACAACCGAGAGGTCCCGCCCTGGCAAACCTCCTCTTTCTCCCTCCCGCCCCACCCCTCTACGCCACTGCCCCCTGAGACTCTTTGAGAATAAGAGGACGGTGCAAAACAAGAGCATCACACCTACTTGACAGTATCGCCGTTGATCAGCGGTCTCCGCTGCTGCCCCTCTCCCCCCCGCTCTGATGCGATGGTTGACACCTGGCCCCCTCCCCCTACTCACCCTTGGCCCCCTCCAGCCCGTTCCCCTCTCCTCCTCCGTTCCTCCTCCTCCTCATTCCCCATCTTCCTCCTCCTCCTCCTTCCTCCTCCCCATCCTCCTCCTTCACCTCCTTCTCCTCCTCGTGATGGTTATCATGCCCACTCTGATGGCCTTCCATCTGGAGTGTCGTCCCCTCCGCTCGTGGTAGAGGTGCTCGTGGCCGGGGAACCACCAGCGGCGCTGCTCGGGCAGGGTGCCTCGGAGCCGTCGTGCAAACTTGCCCCACATGTGTTCCACTTCGTCCGTGTATTGGGCGTGTGCTTCCGTCGTGAGATTGCGGTGCTCTCAATACTCGGAAAATCTCGCGACACAATCACGGGAATGCTCCTCGTACGTGATCTTGTCACTGCACAGTGACAACGCATGTTGAGGACGGGCGGCAAAGACGCAAGGGCATTGAAGGCCGAAGTTGAGACTTGTAGGACAACGCGCTGGCAAAGGACAGGCGGCGAATGCAAGAACGCAACGGAAATCTAGATGACGGCGCGCGTGCTTACTAGGCGCGTTGGGTCTATCGAATACCGCGGATTGCAAGATCGTCAATGGGAGTGCGTACCAGTACCCCGTCTTGGGAGGCTGCAAGGGATGCGTGGGTATAACGAGAGGTCATGCTCCAGGTCGAATACGGATCCGCTTCGCTGTCCCTCGGGGCCCCAGAGTGCTGGCAACGCAATCGCAATGCCCTCCATTGCTTCCCCGCTCTTCTCTGCCAGTGCTTCCAAAAGTTCTGGCGACGCAGTCACCAAGAGCTCGAGGCCCATGACCGACGCCGTAGGTGTCGACGTTGTATCGAGAAGGTGCCCGACAGTCGTGGCTCCAACATGTGAGTATGAAAGCGAACTTTTTCCAGCTGGCTGAATGATAACGGTCGAATGCGAGAATGAAGCGGGCACGGTACACTAATCAGGCCTCGAGCCACAAAAGCGGCGGGCCCAAGCAAGGAAGGAATGTAATGGGCAGAACGGGTACCGTTGGACTGAGGGGTGGATGAGGAAGAGGTTCGAGGAGTAGGGATCATCCTGGCTCCTCCTTGCCCCCCTCTCTAGAAAGAAAGGGGGGGGACCACTGGCCATGAGGTGAACAAGGCGTTGAAGAAGGTGGACAGCCACTCGGCGCCCGCCGGCCCGTCGCCCGAGGGCGAGAGGGCGCTGTGTCCGTGTGGAGCTGGAGGAGGAGGCGAGAGGGCACGCACTCACAGCAGATCCCGGCCCAGCTCGGGGCGTGGTTCGGTTCGACGGTTGCCCCCCCCTCGCTGTCCCACTGCATGATCCTACGCGTCCTGGCTTGCAGCAGCTCGCCTGGGGTTCGTCTCTGGATAGGCTGGGGGGGGGGCACGCGAACCGTCTACGGTTAGGAAGCTGCTGGAATGGTCACGGCCAGCCTTCAAAGCTTTGACTATATCGGCACGGCCTGCAACTATGTGTAGACCATGGTCAGGTTCCGCCAGCCTGAAATACTCGAAGATAGTCGCAGGCTCTGCAATCGGACCAGGATTACTCTCGAGAGCTAACATCCCTGTGATGGCGCAAGCCGAATCGAATACTGAGCCTGGCACAGTTCTGACCAGGGAGAAAATCGCACGTCTAGAAAAGGGGATCCTGGAGAAATTGCTTCAGACCGTCCGCGCCATAGTATGAGATAGGCGAGGGTCTCCACGAGAAAAACCTCTAGGCGAGGAGGGAGGCAACAACGGCCTAGTCGACGAGGAGGAGGAAGACGAGGAGGAGGAGGAGGAGGAGGAGGAGGAGAAGAACGAGGACCAGGAGGGAACTCGCTACGCCCTCCCACCCCCACTCCCCATACCTCCACTAGAACTGTACCCGCCGCTGCTGGCGCCAGAGTCTCCCCCCCGGCACCCTGCCAGGAAGAGGTGACGGGGAGGCGGCGAGGGGCAGGGGGAGACCCAGCTCGGAGACTGTTGCGAGGGTCTGGAGCGTCAGCCTCGCCGATACGCAATGTCACCGCCGAAGCCGATGTCGCAAGCGTGCAGTATGTCACCCCACGCCACGGCCATGTTCTTGTACAGGTAGTAGCAGAGGTAGAGCGCCACGTGGTGGTAAGACCGCCGACCTACCAAGTGCCCTCCGCCCTCCGCATTCGCCACCCCCCACGGTCCCTTTCCCTGCCTGCCTACTGCACCGCACCGCCGTCGAAACTAAACTAGATGCGTGGTGGCCAGTCAACTCCGTACCGCCGTGTGTGCGGCCACGGGCAATCGGGCCAGCTTGGCGCCGACTGGGCACGTCCCCCCTGCCACTCCCATGCGCTCACTGCCAAGTGGTCCGTCAAGCCGCGTGGCCGCCAATGCCAACCTCGTGCGCTTGCCGTTGGGTGGCCCAACGACCACCACGCAAGCGGACTGCACCCGATTTGAGCACTCCGCTGCCGAAACGCAATCGTGAAATGTTCGTACCACCACATTCTGGACTTCCGTCAACCATACTCCAACATTCGCACCACCGCGTAATAGCATCAGTCCACTGCTTCCTCTCATCCTTCGTCCCATCTTTGGTCACACCTCCAGCTGGGGACGCTACGAGGCGCCACTGTGCAATTGCTTCAGACTTCGCCGTGAGTGAATCAGCAATAGAATGCGCTTTCCGCATTGGCAAACTGCGTCACACTGCCGTGGTGACGGAAGGCCTCGCCTGACGCTCGCATTCCAAGGAAATGTCTGCTTGCGCAGGAATTTGAACGCCAATTGATGAGTCCTTCTTTCTCCTCCGCCGCTCCCCTCCCTTCCTCGGTGTCTCGTTTCCTTGGACGCGGGGACCAATCTAGTCCACTGCTTTCGGCGATTCGGGGGTCGAGGCGGGGGAGTCTGGCTCCAGACCTCTGGTTAGCGCGACTGTTTGAAACAGTGCCCCCAAGAAACATCCCCAAAGATCCGATGTCGCGATTTTTTGAATACGGGATCCCTGGAAGTCTCGACCCATTCCCTAGGACTTATCCTGAGTCGTTTTCTGACGGACCCGGGGCCCGGCGAGGGCCCCCCGTAGCCGAAAATAGCCAAAAACCTTCCGTTCTGACTTTTTTCTACGACGCGATCATGTCTGAGTCTTCAACCTATCTAAAATTGAACAAATGTTCACCACAACAACACATCAAGCAATTCGCCGCCGTGCCGCGCGGCGCGAGGGGAGCTTCCCATAGGCTCTATAATGCGTTCTCTGCCCTGAGCCCTGCATTTCCCAAGTCAGTGCTTGCACTGAAGAGGTCCTCACGGCTATTGAAAGATTTGGCGAAAATTCAAGGCCGATTTTGGTAGGCGGCCCAAGAGCCCCGAAAGATGACCCAAGAGGCCTCCAGGATGGCCCCAGAACGGCCCAAAAGCCCCCAAGACGGCCCCCAGACTGCCCAAGAGGCCTCCAAGACGCCCGAGGTGGCCTCCAAGACGGCCCTGGAGAACCAGGAGGGCTTCAAGTTGGCCCAGAGAGGCCCCAAGACGGCTTCCGACGGCGTCGGACGGGCCAGGGATGCCCTGAGAAAGCCAAAGAGATCCCCGAGAAGCCTCCAAAGGCCCCAAGAGGCCCAAGGAGATCCCCACGATGCCTCCAATAGGCTCCCAGGACGCTCCCAGGAGGCCCCAGGAGTGCCCCAAGAGGCTCCCAAGATGCCTCCTCTTCTTCCTCCTCCTCCTCCTCCTCCTCCTCCTCCTCCTCCTATTCCTCCTCTCCCTCTCCTCCCTCCTCCTCCTCCTCCTCTCCTCTCTCCTCCTCCTCCTCCTCCTCCTCTCCTCCCCCTCTCGTCCCTCCGCATGTCTGAAACTTCTGCCCACAATCCACGGAGAGCGCACCCATATGTTCGAGTGCATTGTTGCAACATCACTCCTCCTCCTCCTCCTCCTCTTCCTCCTCCTCCTCATCCCCCTCCTTTCCCTTCTCCTTCTCGTCCTCCTCCGTTTTCGTCTCCTCCTCATCCTTCCCCTCCTCATCCCTCTTTCTCCCCGCGTCCCGCTTCCCCCCTCCCTTCGGCAATCGTCCCGTCCCGTCATTCTCTTGATTCTCATCTTATTAATTCCTCCTCCTCCTTCCTTGCCCGTCGTCCTCATTTCCCCATTATCCATCTGCTCCTCGCACTCCTCCTCCCCCCTCCTCCCCCCCCTCCTCCTCTTGCTCCCACTCCTCCTCCAGCCACCACCCCCCCTTCTGCGGTCCCTCCCTCCTGCGGCTCCCTCGCCAGAGGAAGGAAGAACTGCATAAACATCAACTTTTGGTGGCGCTCCGCGTGGATTTCTTGGATCTGCGCTGAACCCCCCCTCCCTCGCGCGCGGAGCGTGCCAGGGGCGGCGCTGGAGGGGCCGCCAAGGGGGCCTGCGCAGATCCAAGACATCTGCGCGGACCTCCGAAAATTTCTGTCTATGCCGTCTTTTCTTCTTCGACTCGGGGATCTTCGACTCGTGGCCGGAGCGGGCCGGGCCACCGTGGCAGAGGAGCAGGTTGCCGAGGAAGCGGAACTGGGAGATGGCGACGTCGGAGGCCTGCACGGCACCCATGCCCTCCTGGGATCGGCGGCGGGGGGTCCAGCCGCGGGCGTGGCGCGGCCCTCCCAGGCAGCGGGCCGGGATGCCTCCTCCCCCTCCTCCTACCTCCCTCCTCCCTCCTCCTCCTCCTCCTCCTCCTCCTCCTTTCTCCCTCCTCCTCCCTCCTCCTCCTCCTCCTCCTCCTCCGCCCTCCATTCCTCCTCTTCCTTGTGAATCACTCCTCCCTGTCGCGTCCTGGAGCCAATCGACGGGACCGTTTCGCCTGAGACTCCCAGTTAGCGGCAGGCCACGGTGCTGCGCTCTAGAAGGTTGCGGGCTGGCCAGAAGACAGTCCGCACCCAGGAGGCCCGCAACGTGCAGCATGCCTGCTCACAGGCATCTGCCTCCCTCGACGCTGGGCCCTGGATGCTGGGCCCCGGCTGCCGAGTGCGGGGGGGGGGGGTCGGTGAGAGGGAGGTGGAGGAGTATGGTGAGACTGATAAAGTGACGGGGCCCTGGGACACACCAATAAATACACACAAATAACTGGATCCCCCACATTTTCCCATATTTTCTGGGTTTTTGTCTTCCCCCCCGCTTCCCATATTTTCCCATATGTTCTGGGGAATCGACGATTAATTGTGTGTGTGTATGTTTTCTCCCCTCCTGATAAAGAGGCATGCTGGCTTGTGGAATCACCAAATTCAGTCTGCCAGGTCCCCTCCCCTGTCGGGGCAAAGGCAAGGCCTTGCTTATCGTAGGAATGTGTGTTCTTTGCCTGGAACTGGCCCCTCTCCTCCGATCTCCACGCATTTGTTGCTTCGGATGGGGATCGGTGGTCTTGGTTGGCCACCCCTCGCCACGATGGGGCAACACAATGGCCGAGAAACGCAATGTGACATGCTTGCACCGCCAGAATATGGTGTACATGTATTCTCCCCGTGGCAAGGGGTAAACGAAATGTTAGATCCGAAACTCGAAAACGCGAGAAGCCAAAAACATTGAAAAAACAATGAACATCTACAATGTTGGCCTCTTCGGGCCGTCCAGGGACGCCTCTCGCACCTTTCTTGGGGTCTCTTGGAGGTTACCTGGGAGCCTCAAGAGCCGTCGGAATGCTGACTTGGGCTGCTTGGGAGCGTCTTGGGCCATCCTTTCGCATTCTTGGGGCTCCTGGGAGGCGTCTTGGGCCCTCCTGGAGCGCTGTGGAGGCTCCCCAGAAAGGCTGGGGGAGCGGTACTGGGAGCGCTCCCGAGATGTGACGGGGAGGTGTGGGACCCGGGGCCGGGGGGCGGTATTTATATGTATGTATGTATGTAGGTATGTATGTATGTATGTATGGATGGATGGATGGATGGATGGATGGATGGATGTATGTATGTGTGTATGTGTGTATGTATGTATGTATGCATGCATGCATGTATGTATGTATGTATGTATGTATGTAAACATGTATGTATGTATGTATGTATGTATGTATGCATGTATTTAGGTATGTATGCATGTATATATACATTCATATAGCAATATGTGTGTATGCATGTATGCTGATATGAACAACTATATGGTATGTGTACAGATGTGTATGAATATGTGCAGCCCTGTCTCTATCTCACTCTCGCCTCGCCCTCGGCCTCGCTCTTTCTCTCTCTCTCTCTCTCTGTGTGTTTCCCTCGCCTGCCACAATATTGTATAATCATTGCATTTCGCTTCGGCTTGGCTGCCTGCCTCCTTGATAACTCATATTGTTACCAACCCGAATGGATTATCACCACGTCGCCTTCTCTCCTCCCGTATCCTTCCTCGTCATTCCTCCGCGTCATTCCTCCGCTTCCGCCTCCTCTGTCCTCTCTTTTACCCGTCCTCCTCCGTCAAAATCTCTTCGGATCGTCCGTCCACTCCCAAACTATCCAACATCATCAGTATCATAAACATTTTCTTCTTCTCCATCATAATCATCACCACCATCTCCATCACCAGCCTCACCACCACCACCACCACCACCACCACCACCATCACCATCACCATCACCATCACCATCACCATCACCATCATCATCATCATCATCATCATCATCATCATCATCATCATCATCATCATCATCATCATCATCATTTTCATCAGTTTCATCATATCAGCATCAGCATCAGCATCAGCATCATCATTATCATAACCCTCGTCATCATCATCTTCATCATCATCGTCGTCGTCAACATCATCATAATCATCATAATCATCATAATCGTTATCATCATCATCATCGTCATCGTCATCATCATCGTCATTGCCATCCTCATCGTCATCATCAGCATAATCAGCATCGTCCTCGTCCTCGTGATCATCACCATCATCAGCATCATCGCCACCATCACCACCATCATCATCGCCACCGTCATCATTACCATCATCATTATCATCAAGATCATCATCATCATCACCATCATTATCACTATCATCATACCCGCTTTCCTCCCCGTGTCCATCCCCTTCCCTCGTTCCTTCCCTGCTCAATCCCACACAGTGTCCCCCCTCCTCAATCCAGTGCCTCAATGCTTGAATGGAGCAAAAGCGGTCCTTGCCCCTGATGCCGATGCCGATGTGCGCGCCCTGTGCGAAGGTGGCAAGACGGAGGGGGTCACTTGCAAGCCAAGGGGAGAACGGAGCGAACGAGTGCGAGGGGAATAAACTGACGCCACCCGAGCGAGCCGGACTTCGCGCTTCGCGCTATGCGAAGCGCGAAGCGTGACGCGCGAAAGACTTCGCGCTCCCGCGCCGCCCCGGACGGGAGAAGAGGAGGACGAGGAGGAATCGGAGCCGAAGCGCGAAGCGCGAATACCTTCGCGCATCCGAGGGCGACTGTCGAATGTGGACGACAAAGTGGACGACAGAAGCAACGTGCCACCATGCGTTACCAACATACACGCAAGGGGATTTCAGAGTAGCGATGTGCGGACAAACAACGTGGATCAAAAATCACGCACCTTGAAGTGAACGCTGCATTGAGTGACGCAAGCACCGTGCCGGAATATGCGGGTGGATGCGAGCGTTGCGTCGGGTAGACACCAGTGGGTGCGACATCTGCACGCAAAGGCCGACATTGATTGCGGCAGACGCGGTGAGCACCCTGCACGCTCACCATTCAGACAACTCGTCCTTGGGACCTGGTTCTCCTGACCCTCCTCGTCCTCCTCCGGCCTGAAGGCCGGTGCCCAAAAGATGACTCCTGTGTGAAATGGGATGGTGACGAGGAGTTTGGGGAGGGGAGGGATGACGAGGGCAGTGGAAAACGAGGGGGGATGAGGAGCAGAGGGAACAGAATGTGATGCCATCGCGCTATGCACTGCCAGCTCTTTTGAAGGCCAAATCGCTCGAAACGTGATTTGGCTGCACGAATGCCACCCTGCGCTCGAAATTCTCAACGTTGCACGCGTACATGGCATACACACACACACACACCTCGCACTTTACACAGATTGCCTTATCCGCTCGTTCGATTAAACAGATTCCTCGAAACAGCTTGGCCACACAAATGATACATCCTCGGGCAATGGTGCTGCCAAACGAAACCTGCATACATTCCAGCTTGAAGTGATCATTCATGTTCTACACCCATGGGGTGCAGCGCCAACCTGCGCATACGCCAAAGCGCGTGGCGGATCCGCTTGCGCGGTCGGGGTCAGAATTATTCCGGCTGCGGGCCAGCGCCCCGTGTCCTGTCTCCTCCCGCCGCCGCCCCTTTCCCCTCCGTGCCCTCCTGATCCTCCTCGATCCTCACACTCCTGCCGCCGCCCGCCCCTTTCCCCTCCGTGCTCCTCCTCCCGCGCCTCGCCTTCCTGCAGTCGCTGCTGCTGCTGCTGCTGCCTGCTTAACCCTGCGCAGCGCCATCGGGCGTCCCTGGCCGCGCTCGCGCGCCCGTGGCCCCCCCCCCTGGCGGGGCGGGGGGCTGGCCCAGCGGGAAAACGGGGGCCTGCCCGGAGACGGAGAAAACGGGGGGAGGGGGCACCAGCTCTCTCTCCATTCCTGCACATCCAACATTTCCTTTGTTTCGGTCGCGATCTCCCCAGAGGGTGGAGAGGGGGAAATGGGGGGACGGGTCACCAACTCTCTCTCTCTCTCTCTCTCTCCTCTCCTATACATCCAACATATTGCTTGTGTTGGTCGCGATCTCCCCAGAGGGGCACAGCTGCTCACCGAATCTGCTCACTGAGCTGTCGGCTGCCAACTCGTAGTGTTGAACGTTCCGGAAGCTGGAGTAACCCTGGGGGTCATCGTAGCACAGGTCGCCATCGAACAGGCTGCAGTAGTCGTACTCGTAGTAGGCGGCGTGGCCGTAGTCGTACTCGTTGTCGGCGGCGCGGCCGTACTCAACCGGTACGTCCACGACGACGCACTTCGTAATCCTTTCGGGACGCACGGTCACGTCGTTCCTGGCGCGGGTTTTGGTGGCGTGCTTGGGTTGCCTGCTACGCGGCTCGTTCTCGCACTGGGTTTGCCTGTTACGTAGCTCGTGCTTGGAGTTTCTCGCGAGGGCGGTCATAGTAATGATAATGAGGTCGCCAGGTCGAGGCTGTATCGCATGCCGAACGATGTGCCCCACTCGTTTTTGGGCCGCGTGTGTTCTGGCCCAGTGTCCTCTTTGCCTACGTGGTCTGGGCATCCTTGCCAGCACTTACCCACAAAAGTGGGTCAGTCTCGTAGCCTTGCAATTCGAGAGCTGGCGGTTGATGTTGTAGCCACAACTGATCACCTTCGTGCCATGGCGGCGCCAACTGACCACGGCCGCGGCTGCTGCTGCTCAGTCGCCTCGCTGCTGATCCAACCCCCGCTTCTCGTCATTGCGTCATTGCCCTTGTCGTTTTCGCCCTCCACATACATCTCCGTCAACCGCGAACGTAGCTGAAACAGAACAAGGTGCCACCGCTGGGGCCACTGCGAACATGGGACAAAACGCGTCTAGGTGGCGAACGCCGACGTCACAATCGGCAGCGCGGTGACCGCGAATATACCAGCACAGCCCGCGCTCGTGCCTTGCGCACACAGCAGCCAGCAAGCACGCTCTCACAAATACGGTTCGGCCGCCACGGACGCGGACGTCGGCAATAATGGGGTAGCATTACCCGCCAGAGCGAGGGCAAGCCAAGCCAGTCATCTTTGACACAGGGGGGACACCGATGACGCGACGCCGCAGTGGCGTGTCCGCTCCTGGGAGCTACGCTGGGCTACGACATGACCCTAGCAGAGCGGCCTGCCTAGTTCCATTACGGGTGGCAACAACTCAACACGCAGCTGAACCACGGGGCGGCCGAGGGGATGCGTTGACCGCTCTGCCAGATCTGCGCCGGCATCGAACAGCAGCGACAGCCGCGCCGACTGTACACAAGTGGGGCGACAGCAGCAGGGCTCATGACGTAACAGCGCTGACTGTGCCGCTAAAGACAGCACCGCCTACCTAGAAGAAGAGAAAACCACACATACATAAACGCTTGGCGCTCCGCGCGGATTTCTTGGATCCGCGCTTGGCCCTCCAGGAGGTCCGCGGAACGCCAACCGTTTATGTGAATGGCGTTTGTTTTGTTCTTCTACTACCCACCAAGCCGATGAGCCGATAGCCGCGCCAAGTGCAACACCGACAGCTGCACCACTCGCCACACTGACAACTGTACCCTGCACCGACGACCACGGCGGCCTCACATCGCCGCTATGCCGAACATTTGAGACAGAGGAAGCGTGCAAGAACTAACAGGCGCGCGTTCCCTCCTCCCTCCCTCCCTCCTCCTCCCTCCCTCCTCCCTTCCTCCCTCCTCCCTCCCCCCCTCCCTCCCTCCGATAAACACGCGACATGAGCTCCTGGATCATCGGAACGTCATTGGCACCGTCGCCGATGGCCAACGTCACCACGCTGGGGTCCTGCTCCCGGACCAGCTCCACCAGCTCCTGCCAGATGGGCGTGCGGGCCCCCACCCCCATTGTTCCTTCCTGCGGTGAGAAGGACTTGTCCTAAAACCTCCTCGTCGCGGCGGAGGAGGACGAGGACGAGGAGGAGGAGAAGAGTATAGTAGAGGAGGAGGATGAAGGGGAGGAGGAGGAGGAGGAGGAGGAGGAGGAGGAGGAGGAGGAGGAGAAAGAACACGAGAAAGACACTCCGTGCGACAACTTCCCCGAACCATCTGTCTGCGCTCTACCCGGTGAGACGGTGTCCTGCAGCCTGCCGACCTCCCCTTGCGGGACAGTGGCAGAGGTGGTACTGGGGAAGAGCAGGATGTGTGGGAATGATGGTGATAACCAGGAGCGCTGAGGATGTGTATGTGCGTGTGCGTGTGCGTGTGCGTGTGCGTGTGCGTGTGCGTGTGCGTGTGGGTGTGCGTGTGGGTGTGGGTGTGGGTGTGGGTGGTGTGGGTGTGGGTGTGGGTGTGGGTGTGGGTGTGGGTGTGGGTGTGGGTGTGGGTGTGGGTGTGGGTGTGGGTGTGGGTGTGGGTGTGGGTGTGGGTGTGTGTGCGTGTGTGCGTGCGTGTTGCGTGTGTGTGTGCGTGTGTGTTGTGTGTGTGTGTGAGTGTGTGTGTGTGTGTGTGTGTGCGTGCGTGCGTCCGTGCGCGCGCGCGCGCGTGTGTGTGTGTGTGTGTGTGTGTGTGTGTGTGTGTGCGTGTGCGTGTGCGTGTGCGTGTGCGTGTGTGTGTGTGTGTCTGTGTGTGTGCGTGTGCGTGTGTGTGTGTGTGTGTGTGTGTGTGTATGTCGCAGCCCTCATTGCTTGGGCCTGCGTTCTGGATGGAGCACTGCATCTCCTTGTCTTTTTCCATTCCCTCCCGCCCTCCCGCCTCCTGTTTCCGTTATCTCCTGCCCCCCCCCCTTCCTCCTCACCCCATGCCCCCCCCCCCTGCCGCCAGTCAAATTCATCCACGGCATCCCCTCCCTGGGTGCTGCAAACTGCGCGACTGCTGCGAGCTCGGAATCAGCCTGTTATGCCCAGACTGATTCCCAACTTGGGCTTGACGACTGAACCGCATATCTTTCATGCCAGATGCACCTTGAATTCCCTGGTCGGGGCAACACGCTTGGCAATGAATTATGGATCGGCTGGTGGGTATACACGAAACGCCAAGATCAATCCGAAGGGGAAGAGAAAAAGGGGAGTGCCCGGGGGACCCGATGACCCACGGTGAAGAGTGTGGTGAGGATGAGGAGCATGGGCGATGGCGGTGGCGGTTACGGGAAGTTCTGCAGGTGATCTCCTAAACAGGGGCGAGATCTGCGACACACCTCAATTGCCGGATGTTGGACAAACTCTTCAAATGAGGCACTGGGCTCATGCAAATGATTCCAATCACATTCGCATCAACAACATTTGCCGCAATTGCACGCACACTGCACTGGCAATCACAAGCGCAGAACCGACAAGAATGATATGAGAATGTGACGGCACCAGAAACACGCAAACGACAGCAGCAATCACAGAACCGCAAGAGGAGCATCAGAAAGGAGGAACAGGAGGGATGACAAAGAGAACGATAATGATACGGCGACGAGGAGGATGACAGAGAGGACGAGGAGGAGGCAGGGATGAAGTGGAGAAGGGGAGAGGGGAAGAGGCGGAGGTGTGCGGGAAGGAATTGGAGGGAGGATGGGGGGTGGAAAAGGACGAGGATGAGGAGGGATGAGGGGATGAGGGAGGGAGTGGAGGAGGAGGTACATAGTGGGATGAGGGGGGAGAAATGACCAAATCCTTCTTCTGCGCAGGCGACAACCGGCAGCACACGCTCGTGCGCGTGGCGAGGCCCAGCTCGTACAAGCGCCGACGCGCGCTGTCGGACTCGAGGATATGACGCACGGCAGCGCCATCCAGCACCGCAGTGGGAGGCTGAGAGAGGGCAAGGAGTTCCATGTGACTGGCAAGGCAGAGGAGGAGCGCAAGGGAGGAGGAGGAGGAGGAGGGGAGGAGAAGGAGGAAAAGGAGGAGGAGGGTGAGGGGGGGCGGACCAGAGAGGAGAGGGGAAAGGTCGGGCAGGGGGAGGAATGGGGCACGGGGGAAAACCTCGTCATCGGGATCGCGTCGCCATCCCTCTCGCCGCCTTCTTCTCCTCTACGTCTCCTCCTGCCGTTGCCTCCCTCGCCCTCCCTGAAAATCCAGCATAATGTTGTTTGTGCAATACAAGATTGTGTCCAAGGTGGTTAGCCAAGCACGTTCCACTGCTCGCAGAAGTAATTACTCGCACATCGCCTGGGTCCACCATGGGGATTTACGATACATTCCATCGGTGCAAACATGTGTTTTGTTTTCGGACGTATGCGAGTACGCACTTTGCGAGTAGCGCGCTTGGCGAGTGGTGATGTAGACGAGGGCGTTCCACTACTCGCAAAGTAACTTCTTGCAAATGGCCTGGATCCGTCGTGGGGGATCTACGACCAAGAACATCGAAGCAGACATGTGGGTTTGTTTCGGGCGTTTACGACTAGGCACGCTGCGAGAAGTGGGACGCGCTCGGTGTGGTGGTGTAGACGAGCACGTTCCACTACTCGCAAAGTAACTGCTTGCAAATGGCCTGGATCCGCCGTGGGGGATCTACGATACATTCCATCGAAGCAGACATGTGTAATTTTTCCTGACGCTTGGCACGCGCTCGGTGAGTGGTGATGTAGACGAGCGCGTTCCACTACTCGATAAAGTAACTACTTGCAAGTGGCCGGGATCCGCCGTGCCATCGGAGCAGACAAGACGGTTGCGAGTAGGCACTTTGCGAGTAGTGGAACGCGCTCGGTGAGTGGTGATGTAGACGAGCGCGTCCCACTGCTCGCAAAGTAACTACTTGCAAGTGGCCTGGATCCGCCGTGGGGGGTCTACGACACATTCCATCGAAGTAGACATGTATTGTTTCAGACGTTTGCGAGTAGGTACTTTGCGAGTAATGGAACGCCCTCAGTGAATCGTGGTGTAGACGAAAGCGTTCCACTACTGGCAAAATAACTACATGCAAATGGCCGGGATCCGCCGTGGAGGATCTACGCCGAAGGCGCCAGTGGCAGGGTCCGCATGAAGTTCCAAGCCCATTTCGGCGCACCCCTCACGCGTTTCGCGGCCCTATAAGGTGCTCCGCCGAAGGCCCCCGTTGCAAGGTCCGCATGCAGTTCCACTTCAATTTTGGCGCACCCCTCGCACGTTTCGTGGCCCCACGGGGTGCTCCACCGAAAGCCCCCGTGGCACTGTTCGCATGCAGTTCCACCCCCATGTCGGCGCACCCCTCGCACGTTTCGTGGCCCTATATGGTGCTCCGAAGGCCCCAGTGGCAGAGTCCGCATGCAGTTCCACCCCCATTTCGGCGCACCCCTCCCACGGCTCGTGGCCCTGTAGGGTGCTCCGCTGAATGCCCCAGTGGCAAGGTCCGCATGCAATTCCACCCCCCCATTTCGGCGCACCCCTCGCACGCTCCGCGGCCCCGTAGGTTGCTCCACCCAGGGCCCTAATGGCAAGGTCCCCATGCGGTTCCGCCTCATTTCGGCACACCCCTCACGCGTTTCGTGGCCCTATAAGGTGCTCCACCGAAGGCCCCCGTGGCAGGGTCCGCATGCAGTTCCACCTCCACTTCGGCGCACCCCTCACACGTTTCGTGGCCCCATAGAGTGTTCCACCCAAGGCCCCTGGCAAGTTCCGCATGCAGTTCCACCCGGCATTTCGGCGCACCCCTTCCACATTTCGTGGCCCCCAAAGGCCCTGGTGGCAGCGCCCGCACGTGCGCACGTGGTTCCACCCTGCATTTCGGCGCACCCCTCACACGTTTCGTGGCCTCACATGGGGCTGCACCGACGGTTCCGGTGGCAGCGTCAGCATGGCGTACCCGTGCCAATTTTGGCACACCCGTCACGCGCGTCGTGGCCCCAGAAAGAGGCTCGCCGAGGACGATATCCACAACTGCGCCACGCACAGCTGCACACGGGTGTTCGAGGTGTGCGCTGCTCGCCCCCCCCCCCACCCACCCCGTCGTTTCCCGACATTTCGGCAGGGAGCTCGAGGCACACGATCCTGGTAGATAGCTAGAGATGCGCGTCGTCGTCGTCGTGGTCGTCGTCGTCGTCGTCTCCCACGTCTGCGTCGTCGTCGTCATCGTCGTCTCCCTCGTCTGCGTCGTCGTCGTCCCTTCAGGGTCGGCGGCGCCGGCCGTAAGACCTTCGCAATAGCTAGAGATGCGCGCTCCCGAAGCCTCAAGCCCGTGAACATTATAGCGAAAGCGTGCAACCAGCCAACCACCCAAACAACGCAAATCTATTGCCGGGTGTAATATTAGACAACAAGCCAATCAGCCTGGCTGCCGGACAGCCAATCGACAAGATAACCAACGAACATACCGAACGAACGTGGCCACGAGACAATATGAGGTGGGCCCCCCGGTAGAAGGTCGGAACACTTCATATAATCCGCCGGCCCCCTTGCGGGGCCACCAGGCCGTAGGCTGAGGGTTTGCTGTTCCCTGCGCTAGTTCCAGTTTCCACTGTTACAATATTGCTTTATGCTGCTTACTGTTCCTTGTTGATGGACCGCGCGAGGGAGGGGGAGCCGAAAAGTGCCCTGGATAGGATATCCTGGGAGGGTTATCAAAAATGCTTGGGGGGGTCTAAATTGACACCCCTCACGCAGATCACTGGGGTCAGGGTCCAACAACACGCGGGATTAGCCACATTTCTGCAATTCGGCGGCACCCCTCACGCCGATCGGCGAGGTCTGGGTCAAAAAGCATAAAAAGAATGTGCTACATTTCTGAAATTCGGTGGCGCCCCTCATGCAGAACGCCGGGGTCAGGGTCCAAAAACAAAAGGGATTTGCTACATTTTGGAATTTCGGCAGCACCCCTCTGGCAGATCGGCTGGGTCAGGGTCCAAAAACAAAAAAGATTTGCCACATTTCTAAAATTCGGTGTCACCCCTCACGCAGATCGCCGGGATCAGGGTCCAAAAACACACGGGATTTGCTACATTTCTGAAATTCGGTGGCACCGCTCACGCAGATCGCTGGGGCCAGG